AGGATTCTAGAAAGGATTTGTCTTGGAAGAAAATAAAACTGGGAAATTCTCTGTCATGTTTAACCATTGGGCAAACCATTATGAAAGGTATAAAACAAAGCTGTTCAAGTCAGATATTCAAAGAAAATATTTTTGTTTGTTTTTATAGCTGGTCTGTACAGAGATCAAACCCTTGACCTTGGTGTTACAACACTGTGCTCTAACCAACTGAGCTAAACGGCTGGCCCATCCAAAGAAAACATTTTTAAAGGAAAGAGATAATTATTAACTCCAATAACATATTCAAAAAAAGTCATACTAAAGAAATGAAATCATAGAATACTATTTGGCTTATTCGAGCTTAATTTTTGTGGACATAATAATAATGACACCTAATACAGATTTAATAAAAAGTTGATATATGACTGTCAAGGAAAATATTTAAAAAATGGTCAGGGCCCCTCAGATGTTCAGAATCTTGCCAAGCATCTGATGTAAATATGCACATGCACACAAGTGTTCCTTGTTATTGTCTAATGTGATTGCACATGTGCAGCCAGGCGTTTTGGGTTATGCACTTGAATATAAAGGATGAGTGGCTCTGATACGCGGTGCTTCTTGGGACTCTCCGGGAAGCCATTAGGGTGGCTGCTCCTGGCTCTGAATAAAGCCTATAATTCTTAACCCCTGGCTCCCAGGACCTTTTCCTATTACCTAGCTGGTAGACCTGCGTGTGCAGTGTTTGTGACCCAGTCTGTACAATGTATTTGAGGGGTCTGTGAGCCCTAGCGCTAGCTTTACAATGACATTAGAAGGATGGAAGGAGAAAACGAAGCTTGTGAAATAAATTCCTCATTTTCTGAAAAAGGAAACCAATAGAGGGGTTCTAGAAGTGATGAATGAAGAGATAGCAATACTATAGTCCCTAGAAATAGGACCAGAGATATTCATGTCTAAAAGTGGTTGCCTTGGGACGTGGGAGTCAGATGAGGGTCAAAAGGATAAGAGGTTGTTTCCTTACAAGCCTTTTATCACTATTTGACTGTTTTGTTTTGTTTTTTTAGGCCGAATAGAATAAGGATAGTCAGAGTGGGAAACGAGAGCCTTCTACTCCTCAGCATCAACTGGGACTGTGTTAAACGCAGTATCTTGGGGCCCAGCCTAGATCTACAGAATCAGAGTCTGCATTTTAGCACCATCTCCTGGTGATTGATATGCCCATTATAATTTGAGAAGCACTTGTCTAGCAGTCAGAGTGCAAGGGGATGTAGCGAGATGCAGGTGTCCATCACTGTAGTAAAGGCAAAGTGAAGCAAGATTCACAGAGCACACAAGGCTCTCGGAGGGATCAAGCCTGAATTCAGCCCAACATTCTAGGTAACTTTACCCTTTTCACTAGCGTACACCTTCTCAACATCACTGCTCAGTATTCCCAACAAGCCTCAATCCTCCTGGCATTTGAAATTGTTTCCCAAATTTCCTGCACCAGTCATCACCTCCTTCACTACTTGGCTTGTTTTACCTTTGCCTCACAGAATCTGTCTTTAGCACAGGCAGTTGCACATATGTTGTTTTTGTCCTCAAATCGTTCCTGTATAATTGACTGCCAAGAAGACTCTATAACTCTCAATAGACTAAAGGCTTAGCAATNAAGTTTCTCTAAAAGTTTCAAGGGAAATTGATAACATACCACATAAGACATTTGTTGCTTTAAGTGTAAAATAGGTACTAAAACCAAAACCTAGCTAAACCACAGTTGGTCTTTGGACTATATATTATGAAGCCATTCAAAATGATCCTGTAATATTTTTTAAAACTGAAGAAAAACCCACACTGAAATACTGTGAATTTTATATTTAAAAAATAAAAACCAAAACACGTTTAAAATGTATCAGAAAATTGTGGTATCATGACACATGAGAATACAAAGTCTGGTTTGAATATAAAATTAGTTTTCCTCAAGATACATATAAAAATTAATTACAAACCTATCAGAGGCTAAGTCTTAAGACATTCAGAAATAAGTCTTAATTATGAAGTTTCAAAAAAAACCTATGATTAAAGATCATATCTCCTTTATAAAGTGAGGATTAATCTATGCAAATGGCTTCTTTGAAGTGACCCTTGCAAACAAGTTATTTGGATTATAGAACTGACAAGATGTTGCCTTTAAAAATGATTATATTGAGAAGAATTATATCCATATAAGGAGTCCCTTATTTTGTGATATTCTCCCAATCACTATTTATCGGTAGAAAATTTTTAAATGATCTCTTATGGGAGAACAGGAAATTTGTATAACAAGGGATTCTATGGCCCAGAACAATTTGCCATAAGGGTATTTCTTTGAGGACTCATCCTTCATCTTAAAAATTTGTGTAAATCTACTCTATAATAGATCCGTGGTAGTTTTTAGTTGTTTTAAAAGGTGTCCATTCAAAAAGTAAAAGTGACACTTCAAAAGATGTTTATCCTATAAATGAGAAGCCAGCACCTAGCTCACATACCAGTCTGAGAACAGCATACCAGGTAGATTTGGTCNTCCTGTATAATTGACTGCCAAGAAGACTCTATAACTCTCAATAGACTAAAGGCTTAGCAATTGGGTTTCCTTCATTCTTCAAGTTATCAGCCAGAACAGAACAGATGGACACAACAGTAAACAGAACAGTCTCTACCTTCCAGGAAATAAAGAGAAAAACAAACCAGAAAACTATAGCAATAAGAGCTTTGATGGGATAATCACAATTATAAGAGCTCTTAGAGTGGTCGCCTAATGATTCCACTGAAAGTGAGGACTAAATAGGCCAAGTCCTCAATATACCTTTATATCTTAAGTTTTGAAAGATTTATAAAGTTTCTCTAAAAGTTTCAAGGGAAATTGATAACATACCACATAAGACATTTGTTGCTTT